AAGTTGATGATTACAGATGTCCCTTGTCCCACATGTGGGAAATGGTTACTAGCTCTCCAAGTTACAACGTCGACTGACGAAGTCTAGTCCGCGGTGGTTGACGGAGGTCGGCGGTGATCGACAGTAGTTGACAATAATCGATGACGGTCGGCAGTGGTCGACGGAGGTCAGCCGTGATCAACGGAGGTCAGCAGTGATCGACGGAGGTAGGTGTGGGAGACAGCGACGAGAGGTAACAGAGAAGGCGGCGATTGGAGGTAGATAGAGGCGGTTACAACAGCTGGAATCGGTGGCGGATCTTCGGTGTTGGAGGCTAAGCCTGGTCCCTCTTATTGATCAGACGGTCTGGAGAGATCCATTTGATCAGGTGATATTTGATAAAAATTTGACTGCCTCAACGATGTCAGAATTGAGCAATCTTGAGCTCGTTAGATTCATCTTGTCAATACACTCGATTCGACTATGCACTCGGATGTCAGAATTGAGCAATCTTGGGCTCGTTAGATTCATCTTGTCAAGACGCTCGATTCGACTATGTACTCGCTAGATTCGACAACTGTTTGACCTTTCAAATGTCTTCGGAAATCCTCTAAGAGTGGTTTAATGATTTGATTCAGGCTTGATCTGACTCGAATTGGACTAGTTCTTATATCATTGGTTCGGATTGGACTAACTTTGATGTCATTTGGTTCTTCTCATCGACCCGGTCAGTTTGACTATAAGTTTGCTAAAATCGGAGTTCTGATTATCAAGATTTGAACATTTCTTACTCAAAATATTACATCGAGATGGTAACATAATGAAATTTTGTTGATGTCTGCTTATCAAAATTTGAATATTTCTTGCTCAAAATATTACATCGAGATAGGTAACATAATGAAATTTTGTTGATGCGAGCTCTGTCTCAAATATTTCTCAAATCGAAATATAAAATTTTCCAAAAGATCCTCAATTGTTTCCCTTATTACAAATCTAGCCCTCCATGCTCTATAAATTAAAAGAAACCAACGCACACTCTCCCCAATCCTCCATTCATCCCTCCGGCCAACACACCAACGACCATTCGCCATGAGTCACAGCAAAGGAGAAATATCCGAAGAACTAGTGATATATGACCAGGTACTGCTTCCCAATGAAAAAAATTCCCTCCATAAAATCATTACAAGCGTCATCAATCTCATATGTTCAAATTCCCTCATGCAGGAGAAGGGTACCCTAACCCTAAAACCCCGAGCTCTCGACATCACCTGGGGCGCCGATCCCACATACTGGAAATTCTCTTCTACCGATCCGTATATCTCATTAATGAATCCTTCACCCCTCTCAATATTATTATATACATATCCCCTAAAGTTTACATGTTGAATCTTCCTTCAATCACGCAGCACCAGTCCCGCAGAGCTGCTCCAGGTCTGCTGGCTGGAGGTGAAAGGCAAGGCTAAACTGAGCTACTTCGTTCCGGAGAAGAGGTATGCCGTCAAGTTCAAGGTGGAGCTGAAGCCGGACAATTTCGGGTGGGCAAAACAGCCGGTCTATCTGATGGCCAAGATTGACCGGAGCCAGCGTTCGTGGAAGAAGGCCGATCTAAGCATTAATCCCCCCGGAACAAAATTTGATGTTCCGATGAATGGGCTTCTGACTTTCAGAGTTCCCAAGGATGCGGATGGGAAGGTGGTTGAGTTTGGCATGTATGAGATCTGGAGGGGGAGGTGGAAGGGAGGTTTGGTTATTCATGAGGTGGTGATTCAGCCGGTTTCTAGCTAGCTGGTGGATCTGTTTTAGTGCTGCGGCACAGACTATCAGTTAGGCTTCCATGCTTGTGAGTGTGAGATTTTAGTAAATTAAAGTGGTGAAACATATGGTTTGTTGGAGTGATTTGGTGTTGTCATGAGTTGATGATTGTTTATGATAAATAATAGATTGATTGGAATAAATTGTAGATGGGAGTTTTTATTCTGCCTCACTCTTGTATTGATTTGTGAGCCGATTCGTACGCGGGTCTATGACTCGACGGATCAGTTTGCATGTCCGTGTGTACGAGTTCGAGTCATGAATTGATCTTGATTTTAGTTAACTAATTATTGAAATTAATTTTGAGTTCTTGTTTTAAGTTTAAATCTATGAGTTTAAGCTGACTCGTGAATGAGCTTATTTATTATGAAAGTGAGAATAATTATGATTTTTGAAGTTTAAATCATTTAATGTAATAAAATGAGTTAATTAATTTGTTGCGAACATGAAAACCGGTTCACTGCTCAAATTGACATTTTTTAATGTTTGACAGCAAATTAAATTTGATACTTGAAATTAATTGCTAAATTAATTGTTCTTAATTTTTTTAATGATTTGTTGCAGAAGAAAAAAATAATAATTAAGGGGTTTCATTAATTATTTGATTAATTCTTTAATGTGTTAATGACATGATGTAATTAATAAATAGTCATGCTAGTTTCCCTTGGTATTCCTCTTCGACATTGGTAGCTTTTCAGGTTCTTCTTATGATGTGATTCAGTTTGAAGTTCTCGAGTAGAGAAAGAAAGAAGGAGAGGAGGAGAGGAGAGAGAAAGATGTACAGAGAAATAATGTTTTCTAGTAATCGTTGAGGTGATCGACAGACGTAATTTTTCAAGCTAATAAAATCCTCTGCAGCTCCAGGACGCAGACAATTTGTCGAACCACGTAAATTTGCATGTTTCCGCCGTGATTTTCTGTTTTGTGAATTTATTAATCCGATTTTTCACTTTATTGCCGTCGTTTTTTCACAACAACTATGAAA